CACCTATAACCTCAGACAACCACTAATTTGCTTTCTTTAGTAACAGTTTGCTGGTTCTAGAATCACATGTGAATCAAATCATACAGAATACACTCATCTGGCGTCTTTTGCTCAGCACGTTTTCTAATTTTATGCTGTAACGTATCAAGTAGTTCACTCCTTTTTACTGCTGAGTAATGTTCCACTGTAGACGTGTTGACAGACAAGGCTGTTTTCAGTTTTGAGCTCTGAGTATTCGTGCTCATTTGTGAACGTCATTTGTGAACTTAAATTTTTATTTTATACTGGAGTGGAATTACTGAGTCATACAGTAAGGGAATGTTTAAGTTAACAGGAAACTGCCAAATTGTTTTCCAAAGTGCCTGTATATTCCTACCAGCAATTCATGTAAATTCTGGTTGCTCTACATCCTTACCAACACTTGACATTGTCAGTCTTTCTCATTTTAACCATTCTTATATGCAAATGGTTATAATTATAATCTCGATTTGTATTTCTCTAATGACTAAATATGCTGAGACTTTTTAATGTGCCTGCTGGAAATTCAAATATCTTCTTTTGTGAAGTTGCTGTCCAAATTTTTTTACCAACTTTGCAATTGGGTTGTCTTATTATTATTTGGAGTAAGGCTATTGCTCTGTCACCCAGGCTGGAGTGCAGTGACCTCATTATAGCTCACTGCAACTCCTGGGCTCAAGCAATCCTCCCACCTCAATCTCCCAAGTAGCTGGGACTACAAGTGCACACCACCACACTCAGCTAATTTTTCTACGTTTTGTAGAGACGGGGGTCTCACTCTTGCTTAGGCTGGAGTTGTCCTATTACTGATTTATTTAAGTTCTTTATATAATATATACTGGATAAAAGTCCTTTGTCAGATATGTGAATGGCAAATATTTGCTCCCAGTCTACAGTATACTATTTATTTTCCTTAACAATGTCTCTTAAAGTGAAGACACCTTAATTTTTATTAAGTCCAATTTAACATCTAAAAAATTATGCTTTTTGTATCATATATAAGACTAAAAGCTTTCCCTTTCAGATTGGGAACAAAACATGGACATTTGCTCTCATCATTTCTATCAAAATATTGGAATTGAGGTCCTCACCAATGTAATAATGCAAGAAAAAAAATTAGTCAGGCACACATGGTGGTGCACACCTGTAGTCCCAGCTACTTGGGAGGCTGAGGCAGGAGGATTGCTTGAGCCCAGGAGTTTGAGGTTGCTGTGAGCTAGGCTGATGCCATGGCACTCTAGCCCAGGCAACAGAGAGACTCTCTCAAAAAAAAAAAAAAAAGAAAGAAAGAAAAGGCACACTGATCAGAAAGGAAGATGTAAAACTGTCTTTATTCAATGACTGTATGTGCAGAAAATCCTACAAAATTAATCAAAAGACTACCAGAACTAGTTTAATTTATAAAGACTACAAGATACAAGGGTATCACGTGATGACAGAGGCTGAAGAATGAAAAATCAAAGATACAGGGGTAATATGCAAAAATCAACTGTATTTTTACATATTAGCAATGACTACTTGGAAAAAGTTTTTTTAATATTCCATTTATAATATCATCAAAAACATCAAATATTAAAGCATAAATTTAACAAAATATGCATAGGACCTGTACACTGCAAAACTAAAAAAGATGTTGCAAGAAATTAAAAACTAAATGGAGTGATATACATGTTCATGGATTGAAAGGTTTAATAATGTTAAGATAGCAATTCTCCCCAAAAAGACCTATAGACTCAAGGCAATCCCAACTGAAATCCCAATATGTTTTGTTTTGAAACTGACAAGCCGATTTTAAAATATTTATGAAAATACAAAGAACTCAGAACACCCAGAACAATTTTGAAAATAAAGAACAAAGTTGGAGGATTTATACTAATCCACTTCAAACTTTACATAAAGCTACAGTAATAAAAACAATATGGCATCAACATTAGTACCACACTGTATCACTTCAAGGCCTTCATCGCATTATCCTTCGATTACACATGATTTAACTCCTCTATCAGAGATAAGCACCTGGAGAACTAGAACACTGGCCACAACATCAGCCTTGCTCATAGAAGGCACTGAGTTTTTTGTTGACTACTGAATGAATTAATGAATTACAAAATTCAGGCATTTCAGAGTTAAGACACTGAATTTGGCCTAGTTTAAAAAAAAAAAAACTTCTAAAGAAATTAAAAATTACACTCCTTAGGGAGACAAAGAAAATTATTTGTAAATGTTATATTTTCATAAGAGGTAGAAATAATGCAAATTTTAAAATGAAAGAAGAAAGGAAGAAAAAAGAGAAAGTAAAATAAGTTCACTGTCACTTAGTTAATAAGTAGGGGCTGCATGTGGTAGTTCATGCCTGTAAACCCAGCGCTTTGGGAGGACGAGGCAGGAGGATCACTTCAGGCCAGTTTGAGACCAGCCTGAGCAAGAGAGTGAGACCCCATCTCTACAAAGCATGAGAAAAATTAGCTGGGCACAGTGGCACACACCTGCAGTCCCAGCTACCCCAGAGGCTGAAGCAGGAGGATCACTTAAGCCCAGAAGTTCGAGGCTGCAGTGAACTATGATGGCACCACTGCACTTAAGCTGGGTGACAGAGCCAGACCCTGTCTCTTAAAAAAATTGTACACTCCTGGCCGGGCGCGGTGGCTCACGTCTGTAATCCTAGCTCTCTGGGAGGCCGAGGCGGGCGGATTGTTTGAGCTCAGGAGTTCGAAACCAGCCTGAGCAAGAGTGAGACCCCGTCTCTTCTAAAATTAGAAAGAAATTAATTGGATAACTAAAAATATATAGAAAAAATTAGCCGGGCCTGGTGGCGCATGCCTGTAGTCCCAGCTACTCGGGAAGCTGAGGCAGGAGGATCACTTGAGCCCAGGAGTTTGAGGTTGCTATGAGCTAGGATGACGCCACGGCACTCACTCTAGCCCGGGCAACACAGTGAGACTCTGTCTCAAAAAAAAAAAAAAAAAAAAAAAAATTGTACACTCCTTGAAAAATAATTTCAAAGTTGAAATTCTTCACTATAGAAAGACATGGTTGACAACAGATAAAATATAAAATATTTATAGTGCATATACTAATGACTTTCCATACTCATGGGGACAAAATCAAAAGGCATTAAAACTTCTTGAAAGATTATTTATCATCGAAACAGTCCATGACTTTAGAAAATGTCTTAAAACCAATCACGTAACTAGGGAACAGGCAGAGCTGTATCTTTTTCAGAGAAAAAAATAGTACATGCCATTTCAAGACTCAAATTTAGGTTACTTTTAGAAATGTTAGCAACATATTTCATTTGCTTCAGATATTTTAAACTTTACCACCAAAAGTATAAACCTAAATATTATATGATTATGACAGAAATGGAACTGCTACACAGAGGGGAAAAAGAGGAACAGACCACAAGTGAAAGAGTGATATCCCTCAAGAACTATACACCACTGGTAACAAACAGAGGTTTTTGGCTGCTTAAACCAATTCATTCCCATCTATGTTTTGGGCTAATTTCTTCCCAGTGCTAATTTAAAGGAGATAAAAATGCTGGAGTTAGGCTGCCAGATTTAGCAAATAAAAATACAATAAGCCCAGTTAAACTTAAATTTCAGATAAATAGGCCATGAGGCTGGGTATGGTGGCTCACGCCCATAATCCTAGCACTCTGGGAGGCCGAGGCAGGAGGATCACTTGAGCTCAAGAGTTGGAGAACACCTGAGCAAAAGCAAGACCCCATCACTACAAAAATAGAAAATATTAGCCAGGCCTGGTGGTGCACACCTGTAGTTCCAGCTACTGCAGAGGCTGAGGCAGGAGGATTGCTTGAGCCCAGGAGTCTGAGGTTGCAGTGAGCTACAATGACACCACTACACTCTCGCTGGTGTGACAGAGCGAGACCCTGTCTCAAAAACAAAAACAAAAAGCAGGCCAGGTGTAGTGGCTCATGCCTGTAATCCCAGCACTTTGGGAAGCTCAGGCAAGAGAACTGCCTGAAGCCAGGAGTTTCAGACAAGCCTGTGCAACAAAGTGACACTCTTGTCTCCACAAAAAATAGTAAAATTAGCTAGGCATGGTGGCATGTGCCTGTAGTCCCAGTTACTCTGGAGGCTGAGGCAGGAGGATTGCTTTAGCCCAGGAATTTGAGGTTGCCATGAACTATGATGATGCCAATGTACTGTAGCACGGCGACAGAATGAGACCCTGTCTCAAAAAAAAAAGAAATTTCAGATAAACGACAAATCATTTTGTAGTAAAAGTATGATCCATGTAATATTTATACTAAAAATGTATTCACTGTTCATCTGAAATTCATATTTAACTAGGCGTCCTGTATTTTATCTGGAAACCCTAGTTGGAGGCAAAACATAATCAGTAATCAATCCAATTTCCTCATTTTGTAGCAAAAACTGAGAACCAAAGAAAGAAAGTGACTTGCTTAAACTAAAACCAAAGACCAAGGAAGTAAGCTCACTTTGAAATGAGAAAACATACTCCACTAGGTCACCCTAGTGACCTATGAGGGTTCCACTCATAATCCATTCCACCTCCAGTTCTTGCTCACCTCAAGCACCAAGTGGACAAGCTGTAAAGGGGTGTAGTTTCCCTCTCATAACATCAAACTTCAAGTTTCAGTAAATCTATTACCAACTCCAATCTTCAAAAGCAAATTAGGAAACTACGCATTGCTCTTCATTTAGAAGAAAAAAAATTCTGGCCCGACACAGTGGCTCCCACCTGTAATCCCAACACTTTGGGAGGATCGCTTGAGGCCAGGAGTTCCAGACCAGCCTGGGCAACATAGTGAGACCTTGTCTCTACCCCAAAAATAAAAAAATGAATTCTCATAATTTTTTTTGCCTATGCATTACCACCTCATATTCTGTTTATATATTCACTCACTGTATGAAACAGGATGTCCTTTTTCTCCCGAACCCAGTTCTCTCAAAATCCAAAATTCTCTTGCTCCAGGGTCTCGAGAGAATACTCACGTTATTCCGTGACTCAATGATTTCAGTTCATACACTCCTTCAGTTTTCATGTTTTTCAGAGAATATGTCCTAATCCATTGGGTTGGCCTCAAAAGTCTTCCACTTCGATTCTGTGTCCGCGCAACAAAACCAGCAATGAGACGTGAGGTTTCACTATTAGAGCCACACAGTTACTTCCCCAGGGACTGGGATGCAAGAAAAGATGGGAAGAGAAAGGTCTTCATCAGAAACTTTGGAGCCTTTTTTTCAGTATATTACGGGCATATTAGTTCTCTCCCTAACTGCATGACATACGATTGAACAAAATCAAAAGAAAATTCCACACTCGCAAAAGAATTCATCTTCCAGATCCCATCGAATTAACAAACACACAACACATTTCCTTAACTCCTTAACGGAGCTTCTTGACCTATGACTTCTGGGAGTCCTGAAGGGGAGTCTGAGGGAGGGAGGGGGGAAGACAGTCAAAGTGAGGCAAGAAAAAGTTTCATTTTAATTTTTTTTACAAATTGGGCTTCCAAATGAGGTTTTAAGAAAAAAAGGTTCTGCTGCATTTAAAGAAGCATGAAAATGATATAAAAAACCATTATGACCCTCCCTAATAAGTTTTTAATAAAAATTGCACCCAGGTGAACAAGAATCCAAATCGTTTCTGATGGAAACTGATTTAAAGCCAAACAAAAAGGTAGCGATTTAAAGACAAAATACCTGTGCTTTCCCTCTGGCAGCTTCAATGTACGCAGGTCCCTCTGGCGATCCCACGTCAGAGCGGAAGGTCCTCACCGATCACCAGGCCAGGCTTCCATTTCACAGATGTGTAAACTCGGGCCGAGGTCTAGGGCTGACTGGCCCCCGGCTGCACGGCCCGTCAGCGGCGCGACTTCACCTGGAACCCGGCCGCCAGCCCAGGGCCCCCGGCGTCCGACAGATCCTGCGGCTCCCGGCTCGGCCCGGCCCCAGGGGCAGCCGCGGGCACCCAGGCGGAAGGGCCCGCGGCCCGGGGTCTCGCTGCCTCCCCGCGAGCTCCTGGCCGTGCCCCCAACCCAGGGGCAGCGCAGGGCCCGGGCCTCGGCAGCCGCCCCCACCCGGCCCACCTGTCGCGGACCGCGCGGCCGGCCGGCAGCCACACCCCCTGCCCGGGCCGGGGGCTCGGCCGGCCTTGTCCGCGGCCAGCGGCGGCGGCCGCGCGCGGCGCGGTGGAGGGACGCCGGGCCGCAGCAGTTACCTCAGGTGGGCGCTGAGCGCGCGGCGCGACCGCCCGGGCCCGCCTCAAGCATGCCCGGGACGCGGACGCAGCAGGGCCTCTCCTGCGCCAGCGCGGAGCCTGTTTACACCCCTCCGCGAGAGGACGCAGACCGGCCCGTCACGTGACGCTACGTCACGTGTCCGCCCGGAGGTTGGGCCGTTGCCCCGGCGACGACGGCGCGCGGGGGGCGGGCTGGGGCGGCCGCGGCGGCGCGGTCCCTTTGTGCTCCCGCCCCTTGGCGGTGCCGCGGTGAGAACCCTCCGGGCGAAGGAGTGCAAACGCCCCTCAGCTCTGGCTTTGTTCTTTAGTGACTCCTCCGCCTGGCCGCATATATGATTAGTGTTTTGGAAAGAAAGGGAATTTGGTCCGGCATTACAGTGTTGTACTTGGGGAAAAAAATGGAAAATACTTTCTCACCTGAGACTATCAAACGGGGGGCGGAGTGGGCGAGGGATTAAGTAATAATTGTTTTGTTTGCCTTAACGAAAAGGTTTTAGTTTGCTTTGGCTCCCTAGTCTGCAGTGAAAGGCTGATGCCTCCCCCTCCCAGCCACAGAGAGGATCTGAGGAAGGCTTATGGGACTTGCAAATTTTTTTATTATAATTTTCATGGGGATTAGTCTTTGTATGTGTAAATATAGACATGTCTAAATAAATATTTGATTCAACATTCAGCTTTTGTCCATATCTAACTTTCCTAATTATACCTCTGTCGCTTTGTTTCTAGTGACTATTTCTACCAAGGACAGTTTTCCTAGATCCAACTTTGCAAAAGTAAAGTTTCAGCCACTGCCAATTTTATTGTTCCCATAGTATTCACTATAAATTTAATAAAAGTTTGTATTATTTCTTAATAAATTCATGAGTGAATTGTAAGCAAATCCCCTCCGATATTCCAGAATTGTTCTGTTGTCCAGAAGTGATGTATTGCATAGCTAACGAAGTTCCCTACAAGTCTGATCACTTTGCATATTTGGTTGTCTAAGCAAAGAGCAAATTGCCAGGGTGAAAGCAGTGGGCTCAAAATATCCTCCAGATCAACACAGCAAGGTCAAAACATCTTTATTTCTACACACACCTAGGATGCTACATTACAAAGAGCAGAAAATGATGAGTTTTCTTCATACTTGTCTTTTACTATGGAAAATAGGTTATCAGGGCCAGTTGCCACAATTTGATTGATTCTTTCTACCGCTTCTGGCAGCAGGTGTTCCATGAAGGCAGGACCAGTATCTTCCATTGGTATAATTTACGCCTAAACCGTCCATGGTGAGCAAAAAAATTGGTTGGTTGATCTATGGCTGTGGAATCCTGCCATCCTTCTGTAGGAAGCAGCAGAACCTTCATAGTTCCAGAGGGAGCTGTGAGTTATGCAGAGGGCTGATAAACAGTACTAAAGGAGTACAGTACTAAAGCTAGGTTCATGGTTCAGCCATTACTATCTAGGCAATTTATTTAACCTTTCTGAGCCTCTCTTCAGCTGTCTAAAAGAAAGACAGTATCTACTGAATACAATGCTTATGAGATGAAATGAGGTAACACCTGCTAATACTTTAAAGTATCCAACACATACAGAGCTGGATAAATGTTAATCATGTACAGCCTTTGGCAAGAGAGGAGTAGTATACGACGGCAGAGTCCTGAGGGAAAAGGAGCTCACAACTTAAATGAGTCCAGGTCCTGGGTCCAGACTCTTGCCCCCTTGGCTGCAGCTGTGGATGGGATTGCCGGCAAGGAAACAACACACAATTGGGAAGAAGCCTTCGCACTTAGAATGTAAGACTGCCAGTAAGGGAATTGCTCACAGGCACCAGGTTCTCACTCCAGGAGTAGTACTGGCCTCAAATCCTCCCTGCTGTGCTAATGTGCTAATACACTGCCTCTCCTTAGCCTCAGCCCAGGTAGGGAAATTATATACACTCTCCTAGAGTAGAGTCTGTGAGATATATAAAAAAGAAGTCAGGCTGAGCCAGGTGACCAGTGTTACCCTGAGAGCCAGTCATACCAAATGGTTAAACATACAGGTTCCGGTTTTTTAGTTAGGACTTCATTGCAAATAACAAATTGTGTTGTTGTGTATGACAAAATATACCGCAAATGTGCAGTGTATGACTGTAATGGCATTTCATCTAACACAGTGGACACACTAGTGTTCCCACTAGCTTGACAAATGTAAGGACTTGGGAAGCTTGCAAACAAAGAAACGAACGATAACCAATGAAGGTGTTGCAAAGCTGTGATGCAGCGGAACCAGCCTTGAGTTCAAGTTTCCTGATTCCAATCTAAACATCGCTTCCTTTTTATTAATAACCATAAAGATACGGTTTCACCATCTTTTTTATTTATTCTTTCTTGGCCTTCCTATGCTATGCTACTGACAATTATGCTTCACATAATGGTTGGCGCATTTCAAAAGTAGAGCCAATAGGACTTGCAGACTGATTAGATATGAATTGGAACATGAAAGAACAGAGTGAAGACTGACTCCAAGGTTTTTGGCCTGCACAACCAAAAGGATAGAAACGCCATTTACTGAGATGGAAAAGAAGGGTTATGTGCAGTTTGAGCAGTGGGAGGATCAAAAATTCGATTTCGGGCATGCTAAATTGGACATGCCTATTGGACATCCAAATGGAGATGTATGGTTAGCAGCTGAATAGAAGACACTAGAATTTGGAGGAGAAATATAGAGACATAAATTGAAGATTTGTAAATGGTATTTAAAGCCACAAGATTGAATGAGACCACACAGAGCAATAACTTTCACACCTTTGACCTCAACTCAGGATACAAAATGTATTTTACATATTGACCAAATACATGTATATAACTTAAAAGTTTCCAGAAGCAAATTTACCTTCCTATGTGTGATACACTATGGCAACTGCCCTTTATACAATTAATAAAGGACCACAAGGTGGAAACTGTGGTAAGGGAAATATATATATATAACCAGCCATTGTCCCCTAGCTTGCTCTCCTATAATTGCCTGCTACTCAGGAGTCATGGAGCTGATGGTCATAAAGATTCTCAGCTTTCTTCATTGCTCTCGTAGATAACTTCGCCCTTGGGAAACCTCAGCCTAGTTTTTGAGAGATCTTCCAGGCCCTGCATTCTGGTGGAACAGCTGACCCACTCAGACCAGTGGCCTCCACCCAAGAACCAACTCAGCAAAGAAGACAATTTCTACACCCATAGAGTTCCGCCCTGAATCCAGCCAATCAGCAGATCCAATTGCTCAGCCCTTTGTTCGCCAAACTATCTTTAAAAACCCTTTCTCCCAAATTCTCAGGGAGATGGATTTGAGAACCTCCTCCCGTCTCCTTGCATGGCACCTGTGACGTTAAACTCTTCCTCTGCTGTAACCCCTGCTGTCTCAGTGCATCGGCTGCCTCTTGAGCAGGGGGTAATGAACCTGGTAAGGCTGTAACACTATTCTTTCTCTTCTACTTAATTGTCTCTTTAAATTTTTCCCTTCCAACTCAATTGATTTTTTAACCCAGTAACAGTTGTGGCCTGCAGTTTGAAAATCACTGACAGTTACTGACATAGGACATTAATTGCATAATTGCAGCAAAAGAAGAGATCAAAAGACTAGTCGCTCCCTGGCACTGTAAAGATAAGAAGACAACTAACAAAGGAAACTTGGAGCAGCCAGAGCTGGGAGAACTGGAACAAGGAGCCCTCAACACTAGGTGAAGAAAATGTTTCAGGAGAGAAGGAAGTGCCAGAATATGTCATTTGCTACTGAGAGGTTGAGTCAGATGAGTGTCGACCTTTGAATTGGCAATACCTAGATCACTGAAACCTTGAGAACAGAGCAATTAAGATAAAGTGGTGGGGATAAAAGCCTGATTCTAGAGATAAATAGATGGTTACAGCAAGCAGATACATTGCTCCCTGCTGTAAAGGCGAGCAGGGAAATGGGACCACAACAGGTAGGAGATGCAGGGGACGGATGTTCTAGTGACTGGAGCAGAAGAGAGTGACAACTGCAGGAAGGAGATCCTTGCGTAGGTTGGAGGAGTCAACTTAGACGAGGTGGACAAGAGGAGTAGGTGGGCACAGGTACACATTGGTTGGTAGATGTGTTGTTAAATACACGAGGAATTTCTCTTCTGATTGTTGACAGCTTCATAAAATAAGAAGCTGAGAATGAGGGGAGGGAGCGAGGTGCTAGTGCTCTGAGGGGACAGGAGAGGGTGCTACACCCCACCCCGCCCCGTGACTTCCCACACGGATGACGGCTGTATCTTTCTGCTCCTGACTTCCACCCTGGCCTCCTACAGTCTTTTTTTCTACCCAATCACCAAAGTTATTTTTCAAAACTTAAGTCAGACAGTGTCAACCCCGATATTTCCCCAATTCAGAGCAAAATCCAAAGCTCTTGCCTATAAAGTCCTCCATGACGTGGCCCCTGATTCCCAATCCCCCTCGCACTTGCTCTGCTCCAGCCACCTGGCTTCCTTGCGGTTCCCCCGTGTCCTTGAGAGTAGAACATTTCCGTCCGTTTCCTCACTTCCTCTGTGGCTTCGCTTCCAGGTGACCTTCTTAGAGAGGCTGTCTTTGACCACACTTTGTGAAACAGCATTCTTGTCAATGTCACCTTCCCCCACTTGGTTTTTGCTCTTGGCACTATTGCTATTTGTGGCAGAGACATTTACAGCTCATTAAATATCCATTTGCCACCCTCCCCTTCATACCCTTG